AGGAGATGTGTTTTATGAGACGTCAACCCCAAAAGCTTATAATATCTTTTGAAAGGTCATGATAATCTCTGAACTAAAGAACATTTCAAGGTTATAGTTGTTGACATACTAAACCCCACTGTTGATATTTTGTTATACATTCAGAATGAAACAAAATAAAATAACGATACTTAAAAGAACTGATATATTTGTGAAGGAACAGGTTTTGGTTTCGTTTGTTATGAATTTCGCGCAAAGCTACACGAGGGCTATCTGCGCTAGCCTTCCCTAATTTAGGCAGCTAGTTATCACCACCAACCGCCAACTCTTGGGCTACACTTTTACCAACGAATAGTGGGATTGAACGTCATATTATAACGCCCCCACGGCGAGCATGTTTGGTGTGACGGGTATTCGAACCCGCGACCCGCAGATTGAGAGTCGAGCGCCTTAATCACCTGGCCATGCCGGGCCGCGAAGGATCAGGCTTGAATCAAAAGAAGGGCACTTTAAACACGGTAATCATAAATACTGCCTCGAATAATCTCTTGATCACTCACATATTGACTGGTTGTTCTCGAACTGCAAACCCTGCTTCAGTTGAAGTGTTTAGAAAATTTAGTGGAATCTCTGCATTATACTGCATATTCCTTTACGTAACCACGCAACTTTTTAACGAAATACCTGGAGGTATCCCACAAACCTCAAACTGATAACTTTAGGCTCAGACAGTAATAAAATATTGTAATATTATGTCGGTATAACTTTATGTTATTTAACCCCATGCACTTAAGTTGAAGTATTTGATGTAAATAAATCGTGGATATCTAAGCATCCAAGAATTTCACCAAGAACTGAATTTGCGTGTGTATTGTGAGGGTATCCACTTGAGGCAGAGGTAAGTGCATCAATCTGACTTCATTTTCGAGGTCATTCTTTGAATAATGTTTGTTTGTCTGAAGTTAAGCACAAAGCTACACGATGGGCTATCTGTGCTCTGCCCACCACGGATATCGAAACCCGGTTTCTAGGGTTGTAAGTCCGCAGACATACCGCTGTGCCACTGGGGGGTGGGGGGGGGTGGCTTTGAATAATGAACCAAAGAATTAACACAGCCTCCCAAATGATTTCAGCTATTCTAGTTTTTAAAATTTTACGCACTTACTATTATTTTGTAGAATGACTATGATTTGTCGAAATATTTCAGGAACTTTAAATATATTTGAAAACTTAAAATGGTTAAATGATTTATTTTTTATTAAAATATTATTCGAAAAAAGAAGAATAAAAAATATGGCTATATAATGATTTATCATATTTATTTCAAGTTCTTTTCCTACTACTAAGTTTCAATCCACTGGCTTTTAATGCTGGTAATTGATACTTCTTCTGGGGCTAGAAATTTAAATGATATTATTACTGTCCCTCTGGGATTATAGTTTATCTAACGTACCCTATATGGAAGCTTAGCTAAACGAAACAATTATTATACGATTAACCCTGGCGTATGCAGGAATCTAAACAGATCAAGGGCACAGAGATTGGTTTACAAAGATAAAAAACAGAAAGGCAGCTTACAAATGGATTAAACTAAATAGGGTTTAAGTAGGGCTTATGGTTTCCGTTATTGGATACGATTTTCTGGGTCTTCCCTTCTGAAATAATTATGTAATTAAGAGCATGAATATTTTAATAAGGGACATCGTAGCTTACTCTTTTCCCGCTTTGGATTCGAATTCTGATGGTTCTGAGTTCGAGGGTTGTGTACGTCCTTGAGCAAGACACTTCATTCAGTTGTTCCAGTCTGGCTAGTTATATGATGGATACCAGCTGTTTGTGTGATGGGTTGGATTCCCTCCAGGAGGGGGGTGGAATGTGTCACCATTCTCATCAGCTTATGTCGATCACTTGAAACTGGAGATCAAAATCACTGGTCCTTTGTGCCTTACGACTACAAAGCACAGCATGGATTTAACTTTAAATTTAATAATTTAACCAAATTTTGATAAAAGTTTTATATTTTAACAGTTGTGCATTGAAAACGATAATGCATTTTGTAACTGTTACTGATTGTTAGTGTTAAGTGAAAAATTAAAATCTAAAAGGACGTAAATAGGTGTGTTACAGAATAAGGAATATGCCTATTTTTTCGGTACATAAAATAACTGAATTGCAACGTTGATACTTTTAATCTATGTGTACATTCATTACTTAATTTATTCTGCTGCTGAAACAACTAATGTCCTTGAACCAAAACCTATACAGAAGTGGGTCTAATATTGTTTAGTTGTGCTGGTAGTAGTAAAAACTGTTTTTTCTTTAATAGTTTAGAGATTTATAATCTCTGGATCCTTGTGAGAATGAAAATTTGTGTGGTTTACACGTTTTTAAAAACCCAATAAAAAGGGAAAAAAATGAAAGACTGACACCTAAGTTAGAGATTTATTCCACAAATATTAAATAGCACTCGAAAATGAATAAGATATTGAACTTTAAAATCAGGAAAACCACTGCCTAAATCATATGTCGGTATATCACTTGAAATGGCCAAAACAAATGATTATGATAGAAGTATTTGCTTTCATGGTATAAGATGTTTTTCAATGAGATTTGTGGCTGATATAGTTGTTTGCTTGCTACCGTTGATAAGTAATCAGTCTTGTTATTAACGATATTTTGTAACATAAGAATTGTTTTAATTTATATTGTTTAAGTATGTGGCGAGGAAATGTGTTATCTCTCAAGTGGAAAGTCCTCCAAGCTTGTTATTTAAGCCACTAGAGGTCTCTTCTGATAAATACAAGTTGTGAAATTCACCCACCAGTCCTTTTGAGCGTTAAGGTTATTTCAGAAGTAGGCTGTATTCTATAAAGATTATAATTTTTTTAAGATTCTGAAAATAAAGTTGGTTGATTAACAAAGCTTAAAACAGTACTTGGTTTTTATTTACGCCTTCTCAGATGTGAGAAATTAAGTTACTGTTATTTCTTCCTTCAGATATAGGCAGCTGTTAGCACCAGTCATTGTGTAACGTATATTTTTATACAGTTACACTCTTATCACACTAATTGCCCAATGTCTGTTATTAAGAAATTACACTTACATTTCATGCAATCATCTTGTCTAATCTTAAATGATGTAGCTCAACAGTCACATGACGCAGGATGTACAAAGTGTTTATTGTTTTGTCATGGACTATTATGTTAATTATTGTAAACATCACTAACAATATGCTGAGCTGCAGTGTGTAAACACTTCACTGATAAACAAGAAAGAGTGAGTTTCCATTAGTATTTCTTCCAATACCGTGTAGGTGGCGTACTACTGGTGATCTGAATGGATTTGCCTATCAGCATTCAATGCCACTTGTCCAATATTTATTGATTGTCTTGTGTAACTCTTCTCTGTGTGTTAATAAACAGTTACTGGGATTACATGATGTGTTATAAAAAGTAATATTTTTATTGAGCTAGTTGAAGCTATTGTAGATGATTTAGTCACTGTGTTACACTTGTAGAACAAGATCATCATTGTAATTATGATTAAAAAGAGTAGCAAACAGGAATACTCTATTGAAACAGAAAGAAATATGTTTCATTATGTATCTAACAAAATTTATAAAATTAGGAGTTGTCTAAAAGTTACTGAGTCTAATAGAAGTTACTTATTGCAGGGGCTATATTTCTAACTTGAAGTAACCAAACAAACTTGTAAGATACTGAGATATAAAATAACTTAAATACATTATATCTGTTCTTATATTTATAATTGTGATCAACATATTTAGATTTACTGTGTTATATTTGATTAACCTTAATGTTTTAAGAGCACACATTGGTCTATTAAATGTGCATAATAATGACCATATAATCCTTATCAGGACTTCCCCTGAAGGTGGTAGCACATTAATAGCCAAAACGTCGATGAAATGAAAACTAGTTGGTAGTTAGAGATTATTAATAAAAATACAGCAACTAATTAATATTATTAAACTTGAGTAGTTGTGTAAGCTGCTAATCATATAGTAAATAAGATAGCTTAGAAGTGTAATTTCCTTATTTTTTGATTTCATATGTAAGAAAATATTAATACACATTATGATATCTGTAGTGTAATTTCTGACATTTGATCATGGCATAGTTTCTCTCTGTTCAGTTGACACCTGAATTTAGCAAGTATTGAGTTGTTTAGAGGAACAGACACCATGTTGTTTATTGTATTTAAGTACTTGACCTTCAAGTACCACCTTTTTTTAAATGGGGTTATATTACACAGTGTTCAGCGATCATAGCCATCCAAGTGTTTGTTTGCACTGTTACTCCCTAGAGTTAGTTCATTGACCTCAAGTTAATGTTGTATGTCTTGATCATGTCCCGTGAATGAACTCTCTCCTATTTCAGTAGTAACCTTGATCCAGAAATACTTCAGAGATTTTTGCCCTACTGTACAAGAGTGTGGAAAACATCTTTCTCTATGTACCTTTTTTCTATGTTTATCTATATCTGTCTAGTTGGATATTTGGTGATCGTGATTACGTATGTTTGTGCTTGTCTTTCTGTATCATTGTTTTCTTGTTTTGCATAACAAATAAATCATAGCTTTTAAAACCAATATTGAATAAATAGATATAAGATTCAGCTAGTAATTGTCACTAGTACTAAGTTAAAACTAATGAAAAAAAGGTTTTAAAGAAATTACTTCCAAGTTATTTTTCTGTGAAGTGAATAGATATATAACCCTGTGTGTAGATTATTTCTTGTGCATAAGAAAATCAGGATTTATTTTGTTAAAGATAAAGGTTTATTTCGTATGTATTAATATGTTGTCAGAAGGGGTCTAATTTGTGCAGAATATGAAGTTTGGTACATATATCATTTTTATTATATCCTGCCAAACGAATTTTGTAAAAGTCCATATTTATGATTTTAAATATGGCTGCTTTGTAACTAATATTTACACTTTTTAGTCTTATATAATAATATCTATTTATGTATATAGATTAAAGTAATTGTATTTTTTAGGCCAGTTATTCAAGATAAAGATCCCAAGTAAAGATGAGGATATTCTACAGAATATCACTGACCAATGTCTTGGGATCATCATCCTTGGACAGAATTGTTGGGCCAAAGCATCTGTAGTTAATGAACTCTTTGGGCAGTCCTTGCTGCCTACATTACCTCCTAACCATGATACTGAAGAAGAATATTGTAGTTGGAGAATGGTAAGGAACACTGTATGTTTGTTGAGGTATTGTACCAATAGAAAAGGAACTGTATGTTTGTGTTGAGGTGTTGTTAAACAATAGAAAAGGAAATATTTGTTTGTTGATATGTTGTTAAAAAATAGAAAAGGAACAGTATGTTTGTGTTGAGGTGTTGCTAAACAATAGAAAAGGAATAGTATATTTGTATTGGTGTTGTTAAACAATAGAAAAGGCACTGTATGTTCATTGAGGTATTGTTAAACAATAGAAAAGGAGCAGTATGTTCCTTGAGGTGTTGTTAAACAAAAGAAAAGGAGCTGTACATTTGTTGAGGTGTTGTTAAACAATAAAGAAAGAACAGTGTGTTCATTGAGGTATTGTTAAACAATAGAAAAGGAATTGTATGTTTGTTGAAGTGTTGCTTAACAATAGAAAAGGAGCAGTATGTTCCTTGAGTTGTTGTTAAACAATAGAAAAGAAACTATGTTTGTTGAGATGTTGCTAAACAATAGAAAGGGAATTGTATGTTTGTGTTGGGGTGTTGCTAAACAATAGAAACGGAATGGTATGTTTGTGTTGAGGTGTTGTTAAACAATAGAAACGGAATGGTATGTTTGTGTTGAGGTGTTGTTAAACAATAGAAAAGGAACAGTATGTTTGTGTTGAGGTGTTGTTAAACAATAAAAAAGGAATGGTATGTTTGTGTTGAGGTGTTGCTAAACGGTAGAAAAGGAAATGTATGTTTGTCTTGAGGTGTTGTTAGACAACAGAAAAGGAATGGTATGTTTGTGTTGAGGTGTTGCTAAATGGTAGAAAAGGAAATGTATGTTTGTCTTGAGGTGTTGTTAAACAACAGAAAAGGAACTGTACGTATGCTGAAGTCTTGATAAACAATAAAAAAGACATCTTATTTTGAGATTTTGAGATTTTATAATATGTAAGTTCTAAAGGCATTTGCCATAATTATCATATCTTTAGCTACAGTAACTAAAAAGTTCAAGAAAATGTTATTTGTACTTACTTGAAAAGCACTATACTTACTCATATGACTAAGTTATTCACCTTCTTTTAAACGCATTTAATCATATATATATATAGTTTTGTCTATAAAAATATTTTCAATTTCACTTAAAACAATGCTCGTTGGAAAATTATTTAGGCTTTAGTCTTTGGAGTTTAAAAATGTGGGTACTAACCACTGAGCAATTAAAATACATTAAAATACTTAGAAGAAAGTGTTACTTTAACAATGAATCTTAATTGCTGGGTAACATTGGAAGATTTTTCATTGTTAATTCTATTGTTGAAAAACATTGGCTAATCCATATATGTTGCACTTGTAGAAATCAGTATTAGTGGTTTAAAATAGCATTAGTTACTCTTTGTACCCGTAGAAAAAGTATAGTAATAGTAGCATTACTACTACTAGCACTTCATATAACCATAAAAACAATGTAGTGGTAGTAATGGTTGTACTACACCTAAAGTAATCATGATCAGTATTCTACTTATTGGTAGAAACAATTTGATGAAACAATAGTAATAATCTTACTATAATATTACAATATTCCAAAAACAACCCATTCTGTAGCTGTTTGTTTAACAAGAAACAAAACTATTAAATGACAATATTTCAATTACTTGTGTAGTTGGAATGATTCAAAATTAGCTATGATTGGAAACCTTAGTTTCAGTTAGTTTATTATTTTTGTGAGTTGTGACACCTATAGATTAAATTAAACAAACCAGAATTGATCAAAAATCATAATGACAATATATTGATTACTGGATGGTTAAACCTAAAACAGTAATAATCAGAATTTTGTTTAGGGGGATGTTTTCACAATGTTAATGAAGTTAATCATAATTTTGATAACTGGATAATTGAAATAATTACACTTGTAATAATTATAGAAAGACTAATTTCAATTACTTTTGTGACATTAATAAATTTAATTTTAACCCTAGAACCACAATGTGGGTTAATCTGAACTTTAACCACAACGTGGAGCTGTATCTAACCCACATTATACTTACTAATGTTGCTACAAGTTTATTTGAAATATCACTCATCATTGTATTTAGAAATCATAAAAATACCGATTGATTAGAGGTAATGATATTCCAAAGTTAATACTGAACCTAAGAAATTTATTTTGTCCAATAACAAAAGATATTGAGACATTGGAAGTTCTCGCTGAAAATTAGCTTTCGTAAACAAAATTTGAGTCTCCACTGCTCTCTTCCTCCAAAGAATGTCCAATTTCATCGGGATTCAATTCATAACTTGTATATGTTATTGCTATTATGGAAGAAAAGCACTTAAATGTTAGCAACAAATAAATACCCTTTGTAATTTGTATGACAGAGACTGCAACATGAGGTCATAAAAAACGACAGAATCTTAAGAGTATTCCATGGAACAATACTCACTAAAGAACCATTTGAGGCATACTGAAGGTACACCCGAGGACAAGCTTACATGGTCATAATGCAAATTTGAATAATGAAGTTTATCGTGTATGGGTTCATGGACAACTCCTGTTGTGGTTCTGGGATTAATTTTGATTACTGGATAGTTGGAATAATCAAAAACAGTAATAATCAGAAACTAGTTGATTGTTTTCATGGTTTTAATCAATTATTTTACATGACAATAACCAATGTAATTTATTGTATTATTGAATCACCCTGTTCTAATACTGATATATCTGAAGTAACCATATTGATTTTTTTATAAAGATAATTGTCACACCTCTGTTTATTGGCTAACCAAATTTCTCTAAGCTAATCCAAAGTTCCCCACAGTATCACAGCGGTATGTCTGCGGACTTACAATGTTAGAATCCGATTTTGATACCCGTGGTGGGCAGAGCACAGATAGCTAATTGTGTAGCTTTGTGCTTATTTACAAACAAACCCAAACCCTAATCCAAAGTATATTTGCATGTTCATTGAACTCTGCAAATTTTAAATGATAATTTAAAGAATGAAATCTGAAGAAATCATCCATGTATCTTGTAGCTGTTGATGACAATAACAAATTTTGCTGAGTTTATGTATATAGTTTCATTTACATTATATTATACAAGGCCATTAAAAATATTTAAAAAATCTGGAAATTCAAAAACTGGAATGAAATATCAGTATTCAAAAAAATAAGTGAATAATATATTTATAGGTAAGTATAGAAACATTTGAGGCTTCATTGATAATGTACTTTTTTGTTTAGTGTTTGTTGTGCTTGAGAACTAGTTGTAGTCAGTACAACTTTTTCACGTTAGGTTCGGCTCTCTTATGGTGGCCAGACAAAGATCAGTCTGGCTTTAAGTAATAGCTACGAACTTGTAGAAAATCTAGTTGAACAACCATGGCACACTGTTCCTAGAGCAAACTTAGAAGTAAGGGTGAGTAAAATTCTGGGTGTTTGTATAAGAAGTATTATAGTACATTTTCAAAACTTGTAAAACATTCAGTGTTCTGATATATAGTGATATTTAATGTTGATATCCTTTTTTTTCTCCATCTTATCCTATTTTAAAGTTTCAGTACCTTTCATGTTATCTGCAGATTTGTTCATCATTGTAAGGTTTTAATATTACTTACTTTCTCATCTGTTTCATACAATACTAGCAACCATATAATTATTTTATTTTCATAAAGGTATTGTGAAATATTGGCACTGTATTCGTGAAAATACTCAAAGTTTTTGGGCTGATAATTAGGTCCTTAATATTTGTTTTCTGTCTAAAAAAAAGTACAATACGTTAAACGTGTCATAATGTGGTATTCAGGTCCACTTACATCCAACAGATAAGTTTAAAAGTATCTGCAAAATGCAGAGTTTGAAAATGTTGTGCAGAGATTAAATCAAACAAAGACAGCAAAGGAAAAAAAATACACAGAAGTGAACAAATAAAACAAGATTTTTATTCACGAAAATTGTGTCAGTCTTCACACTTACTGGCTGGCTTACAGTTGTTCATTTAACTCATTGCTTATTGGAATAAGAAGATTTCTGAACACATCTTTGCAATGACAAGGAGAATTCTGTAACATGTCTGCACAGGACAAAGACAAAGGGAATTCTGATTTACTGCCCAAATTCTGACAAGACATTAACAGTGCAGTCTACCAGAATCCAATGTTGTGTATGTCACATTTATAGAAGAGAAAAATCCTTTACTCATATTAATGTGTACAATTATCTTAGCCAACTCTTGGCATTGGATCGTTTCTCCTTAGGGGCAGATGAGGGGTCTGACATAGAGCTAAAATGGTATATGTTTCATGCTGTTAGTATGTGCAATTTTTACTTTAGTAAAAAAGATTAGTAAATGTTTAGAACCTTTTGACATTTTGTTAACAAGAATTTTCTGCAGAACACTTGCATGAAAAATTGAGAAAAATGTAAGGGGTGAAATACCTGATAATATAAGTAATTAGAATTATATAGGAAAAATACACCATTACTCCTTTAAAAATAATTGTGATTAAAATGGCTTAAGATTTTTCAGTGTATATCAAGTTTACTAAAGAAAGCTGTATGTTTCTTTATTGATGTCTGCTTTTGTATCTTGTTTATTACATTTACTTTTTTAAAAGAATAAGTATTAAAAAGTACTAAGAAGCATTATTTTCAAGACCAAGATATCTAGACAAAAAGTTTCTTCACATCTTATTTCTAGCAATACTGTGATAAGTTTTAAGTATTGTGATGCATGCTGTGAGTTAAATGGAAAATTCTGACAGTCTTGTAACATGAAATAAAGTTTTATATATGGATACATATATGTATATAATGCATACAAAAATTGTATATTTTTATAAACAATTAATCTCTGTTCATGTTGAAAAATTTAACTGTAAATAATTTTTGGTGCTGCATTTGGCATTATAAATAATTGACAATATTTTACCAAGAAAAAAAGTTGGTTGTGAATTCTTAACATTTAGTAGTGATTTTTAATCAAGATCTATTTTGTAATACAGAAGGACCATAAAGAAGATCCAGAATTAAACACAGCTGTGTTAGAAATTCGTCTGAATCACCATCTTTTACGGAATGATGTGCAAGTTTTAGTTTCTCCATCTAATCACAACAGTGAATTTAGCCAGATGTATAACCGGTGTATTGACGGATTAACGCCGATTGTGATATACTGTATCAAAGATAATTCGTTAACAGAAAAGGTATTTTTATAAAAGAAAGTTAATAAACTTGAATAGTTTTTTATGGGATAAAAATTTTTTAATCAGTACAAGCTATTTATATATAAATTATTGTAACCTGGATAGTTTTTATTTACAGGTAAGTGATTGAACAAGTAAGGGATGTTTTGAAATTCGATGCCGAGGAACCCACTTTGAGACTAATAATGGTTGGAGACGGCTTGAATGGGTAATGAAGAAAAACTTTAATATAAGTTTAACATAACAGCAAATGTACAATGTTTCAAATTCGTCTGAAGGTAAACTGATGATGACAAAACCTTGTAGAAACGTTGTACATTTGCTGTTATTTTAAACTTGTATTCAAGTTTTTCTTCATTACCCATTCAAGCCATCTCCAACCATTATAAGGGATGTTTCATTGCCTCCTATTGTTCAGCATCTTAAGCTCACTTACATAACAATTACTGACTTTAAAATGACACATGAATAACAAGGTAGAATTTCATGACATTTCCCATGATGCATCAAAAGAAGGACATGTTGCTTAACCTTGCATCCATCCCTTTAAGCTTCTTTGATGTTCAGCTTGTTTATTTTAAAAGATACATGCAATTTTTAAAGTAAGCTTAAGTAAGTCTTTATGGCATTTTATTATGTGTTGTGTTTATTCTTGATGTGACTGCATTAGATGAAACATTTTTAAAACTTTCCATGTATTTGACTGTTACTTGTAAATAACGGTTTTAAAGTTATAATCTAATAATAAACAACTTCTGAATATTTAACTTTTTTAATATTTTGAAAAGTGTTTCTCGTCTTTTATTCAATAATATATATATATATATATGAGCCAATTAAAAGTGGAAATACATAAGAATGTTGGATTATCAGTGATGATTCAGGATTAAGTATGATAGCCATCCATTTTCATATCATATTCAATTTCCTCCACAGCGTGTCAGAGGATTTTTTTATTAATGATATCAGTATTAAATAGTACAGAGATTTGCATAACAGAGTGGTCTTTTTACTTTGACATTATTATGTGGAGGGTAAAATATTTTTCACTGTTGTTTTGTCTGTGGCCACAGTAATTTTTATTTTCTTTAAATGCTAAGTTTATATTTTATGGGTGACAATCTGTGATGACTTTGTGAAATAGCCTGGTGGCTAGGGTGCTTAAATCACAGGTCATAGATTCGAATCCCCGTCACACCGAACATGCTTGCCCTATTAGCCATGGGGGCCTTATAATGCGATGGTCAATCCCACTATTCATTGGTAAAAGAGTAGCCCAAGAGTTGGCGGTGGGTGATATTGACTAGCTGCCTTCTCTCTAATCTATCACTGCCAAATTAGGGTCAATTAGTGCAGAGAGCGCTTGTCTAACTTTCCATGAAATTTCAAACAAACCAAACCTTGTGAAACGAGAAGCCCTGGTGACTATACAAAAAGCAATTCTTTAATGAATTACAAGGTTTTTCAAAATGGTTTACTGTATCAGTGAGCTTAACATTAACTAGCAATAATGAAAGTTGAAGTATGTTGATGTAAATTATATTAAATGTTTGAAGGAAATGATGATGACCTAAACTCTTTAATTACCAATTGTCTTTGTTTGAAAACCAAGTCTGAAGCTCAGTTTTTTTTTATGGGTTTTTATGTAAGAAATTATTATTGTTTTACCAATTTTTATTTTCTAGGAACAAGATGATCTAATGGCTCTCAAAAACATTGCTCCAAATCAACAAGTATTTTTTGTGTGCTCCCGACCTCTGCCTACTTGTGAATTAACAGAATCAGAACAGCATGACCGTGGTACTGTAGTCTCTTGTTATTCACATCCCCTCCAACTACTTTCTTATCAAGAGTTCTCCCATATTGAGCATTATCAAAAACCCCACAATCAAAGAGAACCTGAATCTCAAATTTCAAACACAAAATTCTCAATATATCAACAGCTCTATGGACTAGGATTTAGTGTTTTATGCCAAACTAACCAGAAAAAAAGTATTCAAAGGCAGAGGAGTGAGCCATATGAAGTGGATAGTGAATTGTCTGAAAGTTTCGAGAAATTCCCAAGGTAGAGTTTCACCTCATTTTTATTCCAAATTGGTATCACAAGAACTACACTTTATTCTTACTAAAGTTTTCAACAGTTACAGCTATGAATCTTTATTGTTGAGTTGATATTTTTTAAGCATTCTGAACTATATTTTTATATCAAAAGATTCTAAGAGTCTCTGAGCTACAATGAATATTTTCTTTCTTGTTCAATTTATTATGTGTTTTATGCCAAAACAACCTAAAGAAAGGATTTAGAGATATGGAAGTGAACCATAAGAAGTGTAACAAATCACATATGGTATAACATTATTCAAACTTTTTCCAAGAACTATATTGAAAAAAGGAGATGAAGAGTCGAAATGAATTAAATCAATAAAATTTGAAATTAATAATGATAATACAATAATCACTGAAGTGGGAAAAGGTAATACAACTCTTCCACTCCCTATTTATCAGAAGATTACTTCAGATATTTATCTTATCCCACATATATATATATAAGAGTAACTTGATTATACTTTTAATCTTTTTTTGTTTCTACAAGAAAATATTTTAGCTTGTCAATGAAAAGGGAAATCTATCCCAAAAGTAACCACAAATGACCAAAACTCTCGTGTCGAAAACCATTTCTCAGCAGTTTGACTACATAATGTTATCAGAGTAATACGTTTTATAAATATCATGCACAGTACAATCATTGATTTTTAACTTCGATTCATTAAACTTAATACTTTTTCTCATCGTCTCTGATCTGATCTATCATATTGGCATTATCCATGAACACAATTATAGTTTACCAGATTTCAAAAAAAAATAGGTAGATTAAACTTATGATTTTGACTGTAATGTAGGTAATTTAATAATTCGTTTAGTCTTGTTGTTATTCAAATTTTTTTATGTTACACATAATAATGCTCAAGGTTGAATTAAATGAGATTTTTTGGAATTATTAAGAAGTTATATGTTACAAATGAATGTTGTTGTTTAGTGAACCTTCTGACTCAAGGTTTCTGACATCAATATTTATTATTATTACTTCTCTCCTAATGGTGAATATTAATGTTTTCTTTCCTACTAACCGGAGTACCCGTCCCCAGGACATAAAAACTTACTTCCGTTATATGTAATTGTAAAAAACACCCATAAAAACCACAAAACGCAAAACTGAAATTTTGTATGTATCTCCGCATGGACCCAACAAATCTTCTCGCCAAATTTGGTGAAGATCCATCAACAGGGGGCAAAGTAGTGATAAAAACGTCCATAAAAACCACAAAATGCAAAACTGAAATTTTGTATGTATCTCCACATGAACCCAACAAATCTTCTCGCCAAATTTGGTGAAGATCCATCAACAGGGGGCAAAGTAGTGGTAAAAAAAAATGCAAAAACACCCATGAAAACCGTAAAATGCAAAACTGAAAATATGTATGTATCTCTCCATGGACCAAATTAATCTCCATACCAATTTTGGTGAAGATCCATCCACACCCTGCGAAGTAGCTACGTGGACATACAACAGACAGTACTAATATATTTATAAAGATTCTTAGTTACAGCTACACTAGTGCTTGGTTTACCACTTGTTTGAAGAAATGTTTAAGGAATGGTTGTGTTCAGCATACACCAATTTTCAGAAACTTTATGCTTGTTTCAATTACTTGGTAAACTTTTAAAATTATCCTAATAGCATGAGGAGTTTGAATGTATCAGTTTGAATTTATTTGCACAAAATGTATATGGTGTAAAGTTAAAGCTCTGTTTAGCTAAATGTTTAGTGTTTTTCCAAATTTCTAAAATTACAAAAACATTGTACTCAATTATTCTTATTTTCTTGTTTATTTAGCATCCTATTGTTTGTCCAGTGTGTTTTACAATCATTTCTTGTCAAAGCTTGTACTCTTTTAAATGAGGCCCAGAACCGATGTCTTCGGATGTTTATTCTCACAGCATTTGACATGACCAGAGATATGGTAATAACCCCCAAACGTCTAGAATACATCTGTCAGAGAGAAACAGAGCTTTACTCATCCCTGATGACAATAGTAAATAAAAAGCAGGAAGAAATACGTCAGCTTATTGTTTCTACAATTACAGGGATGAAGAATGATTTGTCAGAGGAAGCTGCCAATTATCAATTTCAAGGTTCGAAAGAGAGTCATCTCTTGTTGTCTATTTGTACAGTGTGTAATAAATTATAATTATGACCATAATTTACATTCGGAATTTGGTCTTTTATTATTATAACGTTATTTTGAAAGAAATCTAGTCCGATTTTTGTTGTGAGTGTTGAAAAGTTAAGTTGATGTAACAAAATTTTTAATACCTAGTCTGCCAATTAGATAAGTTGATAAGTGGTGTACTTGTAAATTAGACTGATTTCTAAAATATATATAAAATGTTACAAAAGTTAACGTAATCAATTATTAGGTAAGTAAGATAATAAAGGAGTTTAATTGTAATATTTCTATCAAGCAAGAGTGGTATGATGGTTGTCTTTGTTTTATTTCGCTTTATATTGTTACAGGAAAAATCATCCACATCAGAGCAAGCAAGTCTTTGAGTAATAAATGATAAATCACATTCTCTCATGTAGGGTTGAATCTGCCTGAAAAAGGAGAGCTATTGTCTCTGCAAGACCTTCAAATCTGCACAATACAGATTCAGAATCTTGTCCTGAGTAGACTGAGCAATGAAATTGCTGGGAAACTGATTGGTTCTGTTGATTGTCTGCGAGAGAGTTTTGTAGGTAGGGAGCTGCTGTCAGAATCATTACATTGACTGTCACTAAAGTAATGTTTATTGTATCCAGCAGATTTACAATAGAATTTGTAATAATTCTTAACAATACAGAGACGTACGATCATTAAGTGATATTTTCTCTAGTGATTTGTAAGTTATTTTAAGAAAAAAAAAAACTGTCCTTCAGTGATTGATGGAAATAGTAAAACTCATGAGAATAAAAATCAAATTAGCTTCTTAATTTCATATTTATGAGTCTTATTTTTATATTATTATTATATACAAATCTTTTGCTAGATTTGTTCATATTGAAGGCTTTCCAATGTCCTCTGATTTCCTACTTTATTTTTGGATTCTACACAATTTTCCCTAAAGCTTCCGGTGTGTGTTCCATTTCTTGGGGAGAAAAAGAAAAGATGTATATGTGTTACTCTTACAGATCTATTATTTGTAGCATAAACCATATGGGTGACAATGTGTAATGCCTTAATACCTAGCCAGGGAGGAATATACAAGTTTAACACTAGCTAAGTACTTAGGACAAGATATATTTTTACATATATTCTCGCTAAACCCTAATATTTTTAGCAATTAACTCATTCTACTGAAAAAACACACCAAAAAACATAAAGTTGATGCTCTTATCTTCGAAGATAATTGTTTGTTTTTGTCTCCTCTTCTTCTAATGGTATATTAATAAAAGCAACGTTTTGTGTGATAATAATGTTTTTAAATGATGATGTATTTAAATAAATAGTAAAATATTGTTGGCCAGCTAAGATGATTGTTTAATTTACATAAATAATCAAAATATTAGTATTTTGGGTTAGAGGAATTTTACTTGATTACAATGTATAACTTTGTGTTTTGTATCCATCAGGCACCTTAGTCCGATGTTTGTCTAACTTGGAGGAGGCATTTTCTGAAATTGAAGGATCAGTTGCAGCAAGTAGTGCACTGAAGCAAATTTTGAATGCTGCATATCAGGTGTTTGATCCTTTATGTGTTATTTAAATGATATATTTAATAAACTTCACATAAAAATGTTTATGTGATATCTGTTGTATTTCTATCAGTTACATATTAGGTTAATCAATTATATAAAATCATATTTTTATATATATTGCTTTTCAAGTTCTTGTACTTTTTAAAAATGCAGAATTGATTACATATGAAAAGAATTTTAAAAATGTAAGTTATAAAGTTGCATGACAATTACTGTCAATATAAAGTTCTGGTGGAACAGAATGGAACAGAAAACTGGACACTTTTGCGAAGGGTATGTAACAGCCCTTTTCAATGCAAAATATTCATAAACTAATATAATAAAGATATGTTCAGATTAGAGAATTAGAATTTCCAAGATTAGTGATCACTTATACTGAATGGCATTGGAAAACAAAGAAACATGGATCAATTTGGGACACAATGACTATTCAGAAAGGCCCCTGTAACAAGTTGCACCCCAGTCATGATAAGCAAAGTGCATTGTCATTTAAAGTTAAAAATTCATGAATGTAAGGTCAGTGACAAAAGCCATCCACATACTCCAGGCAACAGAACACAACATGATCAAGAAGGATTTCCATTTGGATATTGGGACAACAGGATATAGGTTTACCAAGATAAGGCTTCCAGTCATACCTTTTGTTGAAGTGTCACTTACCTCAAGCATCTGTAGAATGAAACAAGTATTTATTCTATTCCATATGAAGACATACCATCCAAGTCAGTTTGCAGATGCAGTACCTATATATTTCTGTACAATTAGAGTGTTGAAACAGCCACTGCATGGGAAACCATTGTCCTCATATACTAATGGATTTGGGAAAACATCAAGGAGGAGTGGTGTGCTTTGGACATGACAGTCTTAGGATGGAGCTTTTTGAAAAACCATACTGTAGGGCTATTGTCAAAATGCATAGTCATTAGACAGAGCAGGACTGGATGTGGCAATATAGACTGTAATAATGTGGTGAGCCTCCAAAATCATTTTAATTTAACAAACAGTCCACTGTATAACATGAACAGAAGGTTAATCACACTTTATATGAACAATTTGTATTTGACAAGTGAAGTGGTGAGGGTATGCTGCTAAAAGAAAGTCATGGCATTGTGGACTACATTTTTTAGCACCTATGTATTTGGTGTACATTATTTAACCAGGGTAATGCTACGCACCACAGATATTTTATGGATAGAGTTTTGTCACAGGTCTTTTCGAGGAAGGATATTCACATTCAAGAATTATTACATGATGTACAGCCGAAGGACACAACACCTATGTTTTAGCACCTATGTATTTGGTGTACATTATCTAACCAGGGTAATGCTACACACCACAGATGTCTTATGGATAGAGTTTTGTCACAGCTCTTTCTGAGGAAGGATATTCATATTCAAGAATTATTACATGATGTACAGCCAAAGGACACAACACCTATGTTTTAGCACCTATGTATTTGGTGTACATTATTTAACCAGGGTAATGCTACACACCACAGATGTCTTATGGATAGAGTTTGTCACAGCTCTTTTCGAGGAAGGATATTCACATTCAAGAATTATACATGATGTACAGCCAAAGGACACAACACCTAAGGAAGACAATTTTTAGCATTTTTGTGAAAGTGGAAAAGCTTAAATAGTGATTTCTGAAGCCACACCTTAAGCAAATTGAGAGTAACGACCATATCCGCAAAGTAAAGGCTGTGGTTACAAAAGAGAATTTTATGACCTAGAAGGTCAATGTAATGATATTATTTGTATCTCTTACTACAGTTAAGAAATAATAAACAAGGATTCCTACTTGATGAAGACTCGTTGGTCAAAAGTTGTAGCCACACATAAAAAACAACATCAGTTTTAACAAGAAAGATGGCCAGAGAAAGTGGAATCACAGATTGCCCATTTCGCCACATACCTAGCTGTGAAGCCCTTAATTTCATGTGCTCCAATGGACTTTTATGCCTTTGACCTGTTTACATGTTTCTGGAATCAATATCCTCATGGACTGAATGACTTGTTTATTGATAATATGTAGTCTAAGATTGACCTAGCTGTCAACAGAAGCTTGCTGCAGTGCAAACTGTGGTGTCTGGCACCTGTAATCATGACCGTTAGATTGAGTGTAGGAGGAAGAAGTTCCAAGAACCTGAAATATCACTCTTGAAATATCTCAGCCTTGAATAGTTCAAAAAACGCTTTACTGTCATGAGTTTAGTCAAACATGAATAGCATCACTGATCGAGTATATATATATTCTGTCTTTAATTCATCTATAAATTTTTCCTCTTTCAAGGTTTGAATATGAGTGTACATGTATGAGTGCTTATAGAGTTAGAATTTGATTTAGGCAAAATTAAGATTGGTAAGGCATGATGAATTAAGGTTTTTTCAGAAATTAAATGAAATTTACAACTAATATTAACATCAATATTTTAAGCAAATCATATCCATTATTTCAACTGCTTGTTTCTCTCCACTCTAGGTTGATTTGACAGTTAAAACAAGTGCTTCTGTTCTTACAATTTTTCTTCAGAAAATTAAGCAGGTAAGACCCAGATTTAATGACTGATAACTTTATTAGATGTATGTGTATTTTACTAATTTAGATAACTTGATTACTTACCTTACCATTTTCTTTGTTAATGTATTATCAGTCTCTGGTTGTTGTTCTTCAGTTTTCCAACACTGGTAAAACACCCATTTTTGCACCTGTAGTTTTCTTTTTTGTTCATGTTATATCTATGGATTATTGGATAATGTACATTTCTGAATAAAACCACTATTATTCATATTAATTTTCAGAGTAGTGTTGGATTTAATCTGTAAATGGAGAAACTTTCCAGTGAACATCAGCATTTGTTTTGTTTGTCTTGTTTTACAGTTACTTCAGAATCTATTCTGGAAACTCCCACTAAGAATAGATGAAGCTTGGAAGAGAAAAGTAGCAGTAGACATGTTAGCTAGCCTCAATGAATCTCGCCTAGCAAGTTCCATCTGTACTCAGATTCAAGATCAACTAAAAGCCTCTCATGAGCAGTTTGCAACATCCGTCCAACGACTAGAATCTATGCATTCGGCCCGGCTTAAATACACCAAAGAGCAAAGGCTAAAGGTTTCTGTGCTTTCTTTTAAAGACATAGTTGCATTAGTTTTTTATTGATACCATATTAAGAATTTCATTTTAAATTCGTTTCTCCTTTTCAAACCAAGTTTCCGGGTTTTATGTTATTTTCTGTTGTTAAATTATTTTTGAAGGGATCGGTCAGCTACATAAGAATCTAAAGAGCTAACACTGAAAATTGCATACCCGCTGTCCTTCTACATTTAGCTTAAGTAAATAGAATATTTGTGTCATTTTATATTGAAATAAACTTCCATCAAGTGTTTGTAAGAGGTAGCATTATGTATAAGAACTACACGCATGTGAATATATTGAGATGATATAGCAGAATGAATCGTTCACTACAGTGTGACTTTAAAAGTCCATAAGTGGTCCCAAAATCTTGATAAAGAAAAGGCCTCATTTTGAATACTCTCAATCTTTTGTTCTGTTTTTGCACTTTTGTCCATGTTTACAGTATAAATGGGTAGTAAAATCCTATTTCAAAACTTTCTGTTGAAATGATTATACCAGTCAATGTATTTGTTATCTAATGTTTCTTGCACCTTAACTTATGTTGCCACAGCAGTAACCTTTAGGGCTTATAAAGCTAATATTTGGGATTTGATTCCTTGGATGGTGCAGCTCAGGTAGCCCATTGTGCAACATTTTGTTTAATTAAACAAGACAAATAATTTTACTGTAACCTTTGAAACAGTAATAAATATAAGCCCTTTTTTATCATTTTAAACAGGTTAGAAAAATGTATGCTCCAAAAATTGCAAGATGTGCCCTAGAATCTACTTCACTGAGAGATGTGGTGCTTTTTGGTAAGTTTGTTCATTATCACTTCTGTATAACCTTCAATTTGTGTGATTAAGAAACACTTATATAATTGTGCCTAACTTCCTTTGTGATACAACAACTTTATTGAAAGCTTTTATTCATACTTATCTAATGAAGTAAGTTTCTAGGTGCCATAAACTATTAAAAATGTAATAGAATTACTGTAGCAACTTTCTGTACAAGCCAATCTAATAATAAGGATAGTAAATACCCCTAAAGTAACTGCCTGACATCATCTGTATTAGTGTCCTTTTTTTTTTTTTGTCTGTCTATTACATTAAAACTGTACTTCTACAACAACTTAATTCGAAATGTAGGAATGAAACTGAGTTTTGAAGAACTATAAGTTACAACTATGTAGCGATTTTAAATAATTTTCTGATTTATTCTATCAGAAGTAATATTTGGTGTGTTTTTTCTAAATCCTATGATATAAATTGGTGGCCAACTTGGATGCACTATTTACATATTTCAGTAAGACATGTTCCAGAACAACTTTGTGGATTGTAACTTTTTAATAAATAAACTTAGTATTCCAAGAATTGTTTAAACTCGAAGTCTGAGTTCAAGGGAGGTCCAGTTCAATCTACACTTTGATCAATGTGTTTTATTGGGTTATACTAGTTTCAGAGAATTCCACTCCTC